CCGCCGGGGAGGCCGAGGCGGCGGTTGAAGACGTGATCCTCGAAGGAGATCGACATCTCGTTGCCCTCCATTTTCGATGGTTTCAAGATTCTCTGCAGCTACAATGGATCTTTTGAGTTGGGTTTAAGGAGAGAGATAAAGGCGGTGACAATAACAACGACGCTTTTGTTCCCGCTGTTTCCCAGATCGTTCCCGCGGTCGAGCTGTAAAAAATAAAAAAAAAGAAAAAAAGAAAAAAATGCTTTCATTCCCCAAAAGTCAAGAAAACGTGCTTCCCACTCTTAAAACTTTGTCAACAGGTGTTTTGCCCTTAAAAATAAAGATTTTATTCTTTAAGCCCCCAAAACATAAAACCCAAGAGATTAAAATATATGAAGACCATAATACTATTCTCTCTTTTTTTTTATCATGATGTACTAAGATGATAGTTGAAATGATTGATAAGGATTATTTTATTATTTTTATTTTTTATTATTTTCGTTATTTGTATTAAAAGATTGTTAAAGTTACGGGTTAATTGTTAAGGTTACGAGTTAATTGTTAAGGTTACAGGTCAATTGTTGTTTAATTGTTAAGGTTACGGGTCAATTATTAAGGTTACGGGTTTAATTGTTAAGGTTACGGGTTTAATTGTTAAGGTTACGGGTCAATTATTAAGGTTACGGATTTAATTTTTACGGTTACGGGTTTAATTGTTAATGTTACGGGTTTAATTGTTAAGGTTACAGGTGTAATTGTTAAGGTTACGGGTCAATTGTTAAGGTTATGGATCTCCTCTCTCTCTCTCTCGTAACCTTAACAATTAAACCCGTAACCTTAACAATTAAACCATTAACTTTAACAATTAACCCGTAACCTACACAACAAACACATAACCTTAACAACCAACCCGTAACCTTCACAACCAATGCATAACCTTTACAACCAACTAACCTGTAACCTTCACAATCAATGCATAACCTTTACAACCAACCATTATCCTTAACAATTAACAATTACACCCGTAACCTTAATAATTAAACCCGTAACATTAACAAAAAACCCGTAACCTATACAACAAACCCATAACCTTAACAACAAACCCGTAACCTTAACAACCAACCCGTAACCTTAACAATCAATGCATGACCTTTACAACCAATCATTATCCTTAACAACGAATATTCTAAAAATACGAAAATAATAAAAACAAAAAGTAATAAAATAATAAAATAATAATCTTCTTCAATCATTTCAATATTATCACAGTAACATCATGATAGAGAGAGAGAGTGTGTGTGTGAGAGAGAGGATCAATAACCTTAATAATTGACCTGTAACCTTAACAATTAACTCGTAACATTAACAATTAACCCGTAACTTTAACAATCTTCCAATACAAACAACGAAAATAATAAAAAACAAAAATAATAAAATAATTCTTATTAATCATTTCAACTATCATCTCAGTACATCATGATAAAGAGAGAGAAAGAGAGAGAAGGGTATTATGGTCTTCACATATTTTAATCTCTTGGGATTTGTGTTTTGGGGGCTGTTTGTTGGAAATTTGCAGTAAAAAGACAATGAAAGAAAAATTAACTTGTATTCCTCTCAAAATCAATTACAATTTGGATTCCGATTACAAAAGAGAGGAGAACGAATTTGACTCTCCCCTTTGTTTAAAACTGGGTTCTTCACGGTAGCGATGAGATGTCTCCCTCGAATGCTCGTTGATAACTCTGAACGAGTTTTAGAAGAACTCGTAGAGTAAGTTTTGAACTCTGATCGAGTTGATAACTCTGACGAGTTTTAGAAGAACTTGCAGAGCAAGTTTTGAACTCTGATCGAGTTGATAACTCTGACGAGTTTTAGAAGAACTTGCAGAGCAAGTTTTGAACTCTGATCGAGTTGATAACTCTGACGAGTTTGAACTCTTGAAAAAGAGTTGATTTGAACCGAAAGTCGGTTATAAGCCAAGGGAATGCTCCTGTGGTCGATCGTTGCTGAGGATGAACGTCGATCTCCCCCTTGCTGCCAAGCCAAAGATCTCCTCTTTGTTGCCCAAAAAAGAAGGATCCAAGAGCCTCGAACTCAGTTGAGTTTCCCACTATTTATAGGGGATTAAGGGTGGTAACTACCCCCTTAATCCACTCCTCAATGGGCTGAGTGGGGTGTAACCGCCCTCTCTTAAACAGCTCCCTAAATAGTGGGGAAAACAGTTTTGAAACCGTTCTGTTAATGTTTTGAACGAGTCAAAACGCTGAAAACAGCGTTCTGGGCCTTAACTCTGCGTCTTATTGATGAGACGCAGAGTTGGGCGCTTGTTGGGAGTTGAAAACGCAAGGGCCGCTTGCGTTCGGACCTTAACTCTGCGTCTTAAAGATGAGACGCAGAGTTGGGCGCTCGCTGGGAGTCGAAACGCACAGGCCGCATGCGTTTTAGAGATGAACTCTGCGTTTTAGGCTAAAAACGCAGAGTTGGGCCTGTTTAAAGGCTGAAAACGCACAGTTCGTGCTGTTTTAGAGATTAACTCTGCGTTTTGATGTTAAAAACACAGAGTTAAGCCTGTTCTAGGCTGAAAACGCACAGTTTGTGCTGTTTTAGAGATTAACTCTGCGTTTTGATGTTAAAAACACAGAGTTAAGCCTGTTCTAGGCTGAAAACGCACAGTTCGTGCTGTTTTAGAGATTAACTCTGCGTTTTGATGTTAAAAACGCAGAGTTGAGCGATTGAAAACGCAGAGTTGAGCCTGTTTAAAGGCTGAAAACGCACAGTTGTGCTGTTTTAGCGATTAACTCTGCGTTTTGATGTTGAAAACGCAGAGTTGAGCATGTGCGCTTTGACTCTGTAATGCAGAGGCGAACCTTAGGCGGGCTTGGCGGGCTTCAGGCTAAGTCCAATGTTCTGATGAAGTCCAGTCTTGCAGACGGACCTCAGAACATAATTTGCTGCGAAGAACAGGTCATAACTTTCAAACCGTAAGTCGGAATTAGACGAATTATATATGAAAATCGGCTATCTCGACGAGACGGGGCCATCCGAACCAAGCCGAAGACTTCGGTTCGCTTCCTCCGTTTCGCCAAATTCCTCACGGTTTGAGAGATATTTGCATTCTAATATGAAGAGACCGTCAATTTGTAGTCTCTTTTGCTAGAGCTTTGCACAGATCGTCCTCTTGTAATCTTCGTCTTGGCTCCTTGAAAATATGAGAGTCGTCAGGTTGTAACTCCCGATGTTGATTGTGAATGCTGTTGAATTGGGGCCTTCATTAGTTGTTGTGAAGGTCGTCAGATTGTAACCTTCTACGTGAAAGTCCTCAAATTGTAGCCTTCTGGAAGTCGTCAGATTATAACTTCCATCATCGGTGTTTGATGAGGGATTAACTATCTATTGTGATTTTTAGACAGCCTACAGAACCCCCTCCAAAGTTTTCGAAAGTTCGCGGTTGACTGGGACGAATTTTCGGAATACTTTGGATCTCAACTCTGATCTTGGAGCTGTTGATTCCTTGTCACAAAGGAGTTGTTCTCTGCACTCGCTTCAAAGGCAGCTTGGTTGAAGGAATTTTCCATGCAGGACCTGTGTGAAGGTATGCGCCATAATCCTGCTTCTGGAATGTGGGGGTGGACCCTGCATTTTAAACTTGAGATGCGGGTTTCACCCTTGCATGTTGAATTTGGAATGCGGGTGTGACCTCGGCGTTCGGTTTTTGCATCGTGGGTCTGACCTTAACGTTTTGACTTAAGACATAGGAGCGGCTTCCGTGCATTTTTGACTAAGTCTTTGAGACTTGTCTTTGGCGCATCTGTTTTAAGTCTCGACTCACATCCATTAAGCTGATGGGCCTGCAAACGTGCGTAGGATTTTTGGCAAACCCTCAGCCATCAACGGATTTGATAAGCCTTTACCGATTACCGTTTGAGTCGGGCTAGCATGTGAATTATCTAGGTCCGTTCCACATGTAACGTTGTGCTAAGAGAATGAACTCTCTTAGTCTTGATGCTATGATTTTGAATACATAGACTTTGTCATTTTGACGGGAAAAGACTAACCGGCAACGCGTGTTAGGCGTAGACTTATCTCTATTTAGGGATCAAGATAAAGTCCCCCATGCGTGTGAGGCATGGATTTTGATGTCCTTTTCACGGTAAAAGACTAACCGGCAACGTGTGTTAGACATTGACTTATCCTTACTTAGGATTCAGGATAAAATTCCCCATGCGTGTAAGGCATGGATTTTGGCGTTATTAATAACGACCTGCTACGATATTGAATACGTAGGCTTTGCTATTATTGCGGGAATAGGCTACCCGGCAGCATGTGTTAGATGCAGACTTATCTCTAATTAGGGATCGAGATAAAGTCCCCCATGCGTGTGAGGCATGGATTTTGATGTCCTTTTCACGGTAAAAGACTAACCGGCAACGTGTGTTAGACATTGACTTATCCCTACTTAGGATTCAGGATAAAATTCCCCATGCGTGTAAGGCATGGATTTTGGCGTTATTAATAACGACCTGCTACGATATTGAATACGTAGGCTTTGCTATTATTGCGGGAATAGGCTACCCGGCAGCATGTGTTAGATGCAGACTTATCTCTAATTAGGGATCGAGATAAAGTCCCCCATGCGTGTGAGGCATGGATTTTGATGTCCTTTTCACGGTAAAAGACTAACCGGCAATGTGTGTTAGACATTGACTTATCCCTACTTAGGATTCAGGATAAAATTCCCCATGCGTGTAAGACATGGATTTTGGCGTTATTAATAACGACCTGTTACGATATTGAATACGTAGGCTTTGCTATTATTACGGGAATAGGCTACCCGGCAACATGTGTTAGATGCTGACTTATCCCTACTTAGGATTCAGGATAAAATTCCCCATGCGTGCGAGGCATGGATTTTGGTGTTATTAATAACGACCTGCTACGATATTGAATACGTAGGCTTTGCTATTATTACGGAAATAGGCTACCCGGTAACATGTGTTAGATGCAGACTTATCTCTAATTAGGGATCGAGATAAAGTCCCCCAGGCATGAATCCTGGTGTCTTTTTCACGGCGAAAGATTAACCGGCAACGCG